TCCCCTGATGAAGGCACTAACAGGCTAAGACAAAGCAGGAGGCCATCTAGGCCCCCGGGGGGATGCCACGCAATAAGGGGTGTTTGGCTCTCGGGGATGAAGGATGGGACTAAGGGCGTTCTCTTTCTCCTCACAGTGGTGACACACTGCTGAAAGGGAGCTGCCCTCTGTTTATTATCTTTGCCTTTGTTTTGCTTTGTGTTTGGCTGGTATTGCTAAAGAGTGTTCGTGTTTACCCACATCCTAATCCTCTACCTAGTCCACCTCCAGACACACTGGAAGGTGTGAAAGCAATCCTTGCATCCACTCCCTTGGCTGCCGGCCGCCTGCTCAGAGACCCATCGTTGGTGACGCATCATCGTGCTTTGCTGGAGCAGAGCCTGACCCCTCCGCCAGGGCCCACTGCCTTCCCAGAGGTCAGCCATGGGTTCACATCAAGCAACAAGCAGCATTACAGATTGAGTGCCTGCTGGGAATATCTTTCTGGTGTCAAGCAGCCATTAAAAGCACTTAAGGAAATCACAAAAGGGAGGTGAGAGAATACTTGGGGAGAACCATACATAGGACAGGCGGGAAGGCAACAGTGTATCTTCTTTCTTGAGGGAAAACCAGGTCATAAAAAACAAAGTTGATTCCAAAGAATGGACCAGCCTTGGGGAAACTGCAGAACACCTGTATCTTTCAACCGCTCCTGCGGGGGCTGAAACACTTCAGGGTGCCTGGGAAAACTTTTGCTAACACAGAGTAAAATGACATTTTTAGCAATTATGCATTTTATTTTTTTTTAATTTTTACTGAATTTATTGCAGTGATTTGGTGAATGCAATTATATAGGTTTTGGGTGTACAATTCTATAATACATCTGTTTGTTAGTTTATTTTGTTCATTAGATTCCACATATAAGTGAAATCATAGGGTAGTTATTTTTCTCTGACTGGCTTATTTCACTTAACATAATACTCTCCAGGTCTATCCATGCTGTCACAAAAGGTGAGGTTTCCTTCTTTTTTAACTGCCTAATAGTATTCTGTTGTATAAGTGTACCACAGCTGTTTTATCCACTCATCTATGTATGGACACTCAGGCTGCTTCCAAATCTTGGCTATTGTAGGTAATGCTGTGGTGAACATAGAGGTGCATATATTTTTCGAATTAGTGTTTTGGGTTCCTTTGGCTATATTCTCAGAAGTGGAATTATGACTCAGAAGTGGGTCATAAGGCAGTTCCATGTTTAATTTTTTAAGGTAACTCCATACTGCTTTCCAAAGTGGCTAAACCAATCTGCATTCCCACCAAGGAATTATTAAAAAAAATTATTCAAAGAGCATGCATTGCAATAGGCATATTATCTCTCATCCAATTTGCTTGCATGTCTGTGAAGGCATTATCATTCCTCTTTGAGATGTGGAAACTAAAGTTCAGAGAGCTCAGTCACTTGACCACATTTGGAGTCCGGGTTTGTCCAATCGCGAAGCCAATGTTCTTTCTAGCTAAAAGAATGCTGGGCTGGCCTGTGAATCCTTGCCAAGCCTGCATCCTTCTGACCTACATGTTAGTGGCTTTTACTCCTGTGTTAATTAGGTACACAGGAGGGTGGTCTGTAGGGCACAGTGGCCTTCCCTGGCCTCCCGATTAAAGGGAGAATGAACCTGTCTATCTTAAGTGGGCTGACGGAGTCTCTTTGACGGAATCTTTCTTCAGTCTTACAGTTGTCATAACCATCGCAAAGGGAAGGACCGGACACCGAAAGAAGTAGATCGTGTAACCTTGGGGAAGTCACTTTCCTCTCTGAGTTTTAGTAATGTCACGGGTCCAATAAAATCATGGTAATAGAGTAGTTTTGACACTAAATAAGATATCTTAATGAAGGTCCTTAATATTGGACTTGGCACAACATAAAACAAATACTTTATAAATGATAGCTATCATTGTAATTTCTGTTTTATCTCACAGAAACAGTTTTGGAAAATACATAGGTTTAGCATCAACTTGTTCTCATTTAGTAGGTGCTATTTATTGTTGAAAATAACTTTTTAGCCCTTGAGTGTTTCATGGCTAAGAACAACTACAACAAAAGAACGGCAGTGGAAAGCACGGACGACTTGAGTTCAGGAAAGAGAGAGCCATATTCTCTCAGGCTGGTCCCTTCCCTTGCTGTTCAATCATCTTGTACTATAAGCACAGCTATTTAGAGACTAGAAACTTATACTGTATATACATATGGTAGGAACCTTGAGCATTTCAAAAGTCGAAAGACAAGTGTAGGATGAATTAATGCAAATGGCTTTGCTCCTTGTTATACAGTCCCCTGAAGGCACATTTGTTAGAGGAACTCTCCTACAACGGGCAGCTCCTCAGGGGGGCAGTTTGGGCCGGTTCCCAGGCGTGCAGGCAGCTTAATTGAGCATACAGCAGGGAACAGGAGAATCAGGCTGATCTGGGTTCTCATCCAGGCTACTCGTTCTGACCCCCAACAGGGGCTCTTCTCAGGTTTCAGTCTCCTGCACTTCTGACTCAAAGCTGCTCTGGTGGTAACTGCATCATCTGCTCTCTGTCCATAGAAACCCCCAGCCGATGCTGCAACAGGCAGCTTCTATCTCTATTCTCATTTCTGCAGCCTTTTCAGAAAGGCTTTTTATCTTGCAGCAAGACCAGCCTCGACCAGGGAGAAAGAAAATGTGCCTCCAGCCACTGACCCTGGGGAAAGGGGTGAGCCATGGGGCAGGTTGCCCAGGCATGCAGAGGGCTGAGTGTTTGCCTCTTAATGTTTTCTTTTAGCAGATACAGCAAGCATTATTGCCATTTCAGTTTGCTTTAATACAGAATATGGGGCTCCAAGGTTCAACTTAGAGCTAGATTCGTTTGTGTTTTAACTAATCCCCCAAACAGTGCATTTGGTTCTACATAATTTCCTGTAAAATAGTAAACTTTTCACTATAGGACAAGTGTTAGTAGCTTTTTGGCAGGAAGGAAGCAAAGAAGCAACTTCTTTAAGGTTATTGCTCTGGTCTTTCTAGGTAGATTTGGAAAACTAGTGCTTTCAGTTCTGTTTTTCAGATATTGACAGAAGAGTCAAGTGATGCATTGTGTAAAAATTAAGACTCTAGAGACTCAGAGGGGAAAACACTCCCTGTGAAACAGAAAGCGGCAGATATTGAAATTCTACAGACTAGTTTTTTTATTGTAGATTTTTTAGCAATAAAAAGCTGTTGTAATTTAAGATCACTTAGCGTTAGAGACAGAAATTTCCCTCTCTCCCAAGCCAAATTTTAGAAGAGGTTGCGCCCTTTTTGTGTTAACCAAAAAACATTTCCAGACTCACTGATACATGTACACATTGCATATGTGTACATGCACACATTCACATACACATTCACACACACACACAGACATTCCTATTCTAAATTCAGTTTGCAACCTCTACTCCTTCTTTGATTTGCCTTGTAGTTACTGAGTCAGTAATCCTAAACTGTGTAGCCAACTTTTATTAAGGGGTAACTCCTACATATTTAAAAGATTTAGCTGAAATAGATGTGGCATGAAATGTAGGATTTTATAGAAATTTAGTAGGATACTTTTACATTCTATAAACCACCACATTGCCTCCTTTTTAATTTCCAAAACCCTTGAATGAGGATTCATAATATTGAGTCTTACAGGTGATTTTCGAGGCACCTTTTAACCACTGAGATTCCAGCCTTGAAAAGGATATGTTTGGTGTAGATATATATAAAAAGATTTCATCCCAAGAATCCTTAGATAGATAGGCTAAATGTCTATGGCACTGCGGCCCACATATTGTTTCAAACATGGGAGAGACCATTTCTTAGATAACTGAGTACCCCAGCCTCTCTACAAGATATCCACATTCTCCCATAGTCTGGCCTTTCAGAACCTTTGATTATGATCCATCTACTTCACAGACAGACTCTTGCCATAAATATCAGCTCACATCATTAATACCACACAAAGCACATTCTGCTCCCCATTGGGCCTCTAACTATTCAACCTCAACTTCAAAAAGGCTGTGCAAGTGTGTGGCTGACGGACAGGGTGATAATGGCACCAAGCCCACCAGTAGCCTTGCTGGCTACGCACGTGAAGATCTGATCTCTTGGGGTACCCCGAAAGCTGGACCCCTCAACCAGCAAGACTTTCCCTCTCTCCTTTCTAATGAAATCTGACTATAATTTGTACCCATTAACTTAGCCTAAACACCCATTCACAAAGAACCTGCCTGCAAAAGTTTGCTGATATGCACTGCAAATTACCTCTGATGTGCCCTTCCAGGAAGGGGCCAGACTCTCACTTCAGACGCACAATTCATTCTGACCAAAACATTCTATTTGCTGCATAAATGCAAAACCATATGCACACGCATAGGGTGTCCCTCATTTCCTCTGGAGTAATGGGAGCCTGGGCAATACTTTAAGTGCTCATTTTCCAACATAAATCAGAATGGAGCATCGCAAACACCAGTGACATCTGCATGGATACAAAATGGATTCATGATGGTCAGTGCTATTACAATGAAAGGAAATGCATTCCTAATGGCAGGACATTTGAAATAATGTGTTGCTGGATTCTGCGTCCATGGAAGCAATAATGAAGAAACAGGAGTGTGTCAAATAAATTAAAAAGAGTAACAGGGGCATGGGGTGGCTTCAAGGGCTCTAGGCAATGTCAGTGAGAAGGCACATTCACTGGATGGAGCCCCAGGGAGACATTTTATGGCAGTTTAAAGGTAGACGAGGCAAGAAGAGCACTAGGCTGGCATTCTGGAGAACTGAGGTTTGATTCCTGGTTCTGCTATGGGCTAGCTTTGCGATCCGGAGCCAGTTGTGTCGGTGTCTCCTTACACCTCACAGGGCTCATCTATAAAACCAGGACAGCCTCCATTGCAGGGTTGTACGAGGAGGAAATGAAAGTGCGTACGTAAAGTGCTTAGCAGAGAGTACAGCGTATAATAAGCATACAATGAACATGAGCTTTTATTTTATTTTTTTCTGTTCAGCCATTTCATATAGAAGGAGGGCACAAATGAATCCTCCTTTTCAGGTCATGGCAATTTTAATTTACCCCATATGCATAGCTACTAAACTCTTAGGAGGAAATATGGTAGTCAAATGGGAAACTGAACATTAGCTTTTGTTTTTCCTTTTGTTATCACTAAATAAGGCTCTGCAATTTTTTAGGCATCACCTAGCTCTACAAAGCTGAGTTTCTTCTCTTATAAAATAGAACTAATAATACCTGCTTTTCCTAATTCAGGGGCTAGTTATGAGGACCAAGTGAAATAAAATGTGTTTGGCAGATATATTGGTTGGCGGACTTAGTCATTTCCATCTTACTCTCCTCTGCTCTACTCTGGAGGGCAGAAGAATTAAATATTTGCATACAAAGCCTGCACTGCAGGTGGGGGTGCACGTAGCCCAGTTCAAGCCTATGACGTAGAAGTGTTAAGTCTTCTGCTTTGGGAGTGGGGAGGTTGTTCATTAGCAAAGTGTTTACTTTTCTGATTAATAGAGATGTGCCCCTTCTTGTGACCTCTCCTTCATTCCTGAAAATGTATATGATATCCAAAGTTGCAGCCCTTTTTTGGTTCGCAGGCCAGTGCTCAATCCACTGAGCCACACCGGCCATGCAGCCCTTTTTTAATCATAAGGCAACATGCATGAAGGAAAAGCTCAGGGAGTCTCGAAGACACAAGGCAATACTGACGTTAGCCACTGAACCTAAGTCAGCAGTCAGCCACCTTCCTCCCAACTTACAGTGTGAAACAAATAAACCTCTGTTTGCTTAAGCTACCGATACCAGAATTTTCTCTTACTCAAAGCTGAACACAATTCTGATACAATGCCTAAGTGGCTCTAGAGAATTAAAAGCCCTATATATAAGTATATGATCTTTTCTCTGCCAAGAGTATCATTCCCTTGGACCCATCTGGCTAATTTATACATGCCCTGGACACTTAGATTTAGTAATATCTCCTCTAGAAAGCTTTTCAAAACCTTACCCCCAGCTGGATTAGTGTTTCTCCAACCCTTTGGACATCTCTAGGTACTCTACAAACCTCTCTGTTAGTACATGTTATACTGTTTTGTAATTATTCATTTACTTGTCTTTTTGCCCCACCAGTTGGTAAAAATGTCTCAATAACAAGGAGCCCTATTTTAGCCATTTAAAAAAATTTCTAGCCCTTGGCATATACCTGGCATACAGTAGATAACTCATTAATTATTAGTTGAAATACTGAATAAACCAACAAAATAATGATCTGAAAGAACATGAAATTAATCATAGCCTGTGTAGCCTTATTATCCATTCATATTTTTGAAATACTGAAAATAGTTTTCTAATTCCTGTTACTACTTTCAGAACTCTAGGTTGGGAAGCCTAAGTATAGGCTGTGATTTTTTAAAAAATGTATATTGTATTGATGATGCTATCGCAGTTGTCCCAAATTTTCCTCCTTTGCCCCCATCCACCCAGTATCCACATTCCTTCCTGCAATCCCTGCCCCCTTGAGTTCATGTCCATGGGTCATGCATATAAGTTCTTTGGCATCTCCATGTCCTATACTGTTCTTCACATCCCCCTTTCTATTCTGTACCTATCAATTTGTACTTCTGAATCCCTGCCCCCTTTCTCCCATTCTCCTCCTTACCCCACCAGCTGATAACCCTCCAAATGATCTCATTGCTATGATTCTGTTATGCTTATTTTCTTTTAGATTCAGTTGTTGCTAGTTGTGAATTTGTTGCCATTCTAATGTTCACAGTTTTGATCTCCTTTTCCTTATATTGTTCCCTTTAACATTTCATATAAGGGCTTGGTGATGATGAACTCTGTTAGCCTTACCTTGTCTGAGAAGCACTTTATCTTCCCTTCCATTCTAAATGATAGCTCTGCTGGATAGAGTAATCTAGGTTGTAGGTCCTTGCTTTTCATCACTTTGAATACTTCTCGTCAGTCCCTTCTAGTAAAGTATCTTTCAGAAATCAGCTGACAGTCTTATGGGAACTCCTTTGTAGGTAATTAACTTCTTTTCTTTTGCTGCTTTTAAGATTTTCTCTTTATCTTTAGCCTTTGACATTTTAATTATGTGTCTTGCTGTGGTCCTTTTTGAATCCAACTTGTTTGGGACTCTCCGTGCTACCTGGACTTGTATGTCTGTGTCTTTCTCAAAATTAGGGAAGTTTTCTTTCATTATTTTTTCAAGTAAGTTTTCATTTTCTTTTTCTTCCTCTTCTCCTTCTAGCACCCCTATGATTCTGATGTTGGTACATTTGGAGATGTCCCAGAGGCTCCTTATTCCATCCTTGTTTTTTAAAATTTGTTTTTCTTCTTGCTGTACTGATTGAATTTTTTCTTTCTTATGTTACAAATCCTTGATTTGATTCTCAGCTTCATTCCCTCCACAGCTGGTTCCCTGTAGATTTTTCTTTATTTTGCTTATTACGACCTTCATTTCTGGGTCTTCTTTATGCTGTTGTAGTACCCAATGATTTCTTTGAGCATACTGATAACCAGTGTTTTGAACTCTGCATCTGATAGGCTGCTTATTTCTTTTCCTGGAGTTCTTTTCTTTTGAGCCATATTTCTTTGTCTCCTCAACTTGGCAGCCTCCCTGTGTTTGCTTCCGTGTATTAGGTAGTACTGCTTTGACTCCCTGTTTTAGTAGCATGGCCTATTGTAGAAACGGCAGCCATCTGAATGAATGTGGGCTTCTTTAAATCCTGGTTGTCAGACTTCAATGCAGCTCGATTTTCTAACGAATCTGGGTGATACTTGTTTGTAGCTCAGTTGTAATTTTTGCTGTAGTTGTGCGTGGAGGTGTACCATGTTTACCTATGCCTCCATCTTGACTGGAAGTCCTAGGCAGTAATTTTTTTTATTGTTTTAGAAGGTATTCAACTTGATCCTTGTTTGAGTTCATGGCATTCCTCTATTTCTACTCCCTAAATTATTTTGTGCTGCGTATTTAGCCCATACTTATCTATACAAAAATTATTTTCTTCTTTGTTGTTTTAGAATTTATCCCTCGTAATTACCAAAGACATCCCGGGAATAATCCCACTTGGCACCATAACAATTGTTCACATCATCCAGTGTCCCCCTTCCTACGTGTCTGAGCAATGTCTGTGTGTCTGGGGCTTCTGGAAATTTCCTGCTCACTCCGCCATGTCTGGGTCCTTACCATCCCTCAGTGCAGTGTGGAGTTCCTAAGGCTGGGCCTATCATCTATGGTTCTCTGCCAGGAAACGGATGTAAACTCTTGTGTCCTCTCTCTTTCTAAAGCCAGCTTGTCTCCATGACTTGTATAGATTACTTCATGAAGTAAAATTACTAGCTCCACTGCCAAAATATCCAGAAAAAATAATGTCAAATACTGTAGTATTGATTACCATTTAGATTACACATCAGAAACATGCTCCACTGTTACAAGCATTACATAAAAAAAAAAAAAGTCTAAAAGATGAAGTGGTTTTCCTTGACAGTCGCCAGTGTCAAGCCTCCAGTCTCAACTCCCTGCTCCCTTTGCCTATAATGCTCCCGGTGCTCAGTTCTGCTTGGCTGGCTCCTTTGTTCAGTCAGGTTTGAGCTCAAAAGTGACCTCAGTAACACTTCTTTGAACACCTCATCTATAGCACCTTCTTCTCCCTGGTCCCTTTCTGTCAAATCACCCTGATTCATTTCCTTTCTAACACTGCTATCTGAAATTATTTTGTTCCTTTAGTGGTTTAGTGTTTTTTTTTTTTTTCCTCAATCTCTTCTCACTAGAATTAAATTCTACCAGAGATAGGATCTGATCTCTCGTTTATCCTGTATCCTTGGCAACAAGAGCTGTGCCTAATGTAGGTGCTTAATAAACAATTGTTGAAAATGAGTAAGAAGAAAGTGGGCTGTGTGTATTCACACAGCATTTTGCTGGCCTTTAATTGCATTTCCTTTTGGGAATGGGAGTAAGAATGGGGTTGATGGCCACCATGGAAACCTAGAGGTGGTAAGGTTGGTTTGGGAAGGCCATGTGGAATTATGAAAGAGCCAGAGTTCTGGTCCTGTCATTTACAAGATGTTCAAGAATTGGCACATATCCCTTAATCTCTTTGAGCTTCAGTTTTGTCATCTGTACAGTAAATTGTTTCAGAGGATCAGTGTGACAATTAAATGAGACAGTGATGGCAGAAAGTAAATAAATTAGTTCCCCTCTGCCTCTCCCTTAAGGCTGTAAAAAGAGGAAGCAGTCCAGAAGCCCTGGGAAAATGGTCTAACGCTTTTTCCCACTCTAACAGTCACCTTAGCAACTGTAATGATTCTCCACAGAGAAATCTTAACATGCTGTATCAGGGAGTCTAGCTCACAGGCCAACTCTGAAGTCCTGAATGCATTCTAAAGACTCAGGAGCATGAGTCTACCTTGCAAGGTTATTACAGATTTATTCCTTTCTTCCCAATCTTATATTCACTTACTCATATATTATACTCGGGCTGATGTTTTTTTCAACAGGCGTGAACTTGTAAATACATTTTAAAGCACTCTGGGTGCTGATTCTGCCACATGATGTGTTTCTTCTGGTCTTGTCAAAACGAGGGCACTTGAAGCCATCACCGATCTGTATTCTCCAGGCTGCTGGAGCCCCTATTGGTGCCATCATCCTTGACAGCTATGTGCCTGTCTGAACACAATTAATTCCTTATACTCAGTTCATTCTACCTGTTCATTTGCTCATTCAGCAAGCATCAACTGAGTGCCAACTGCATGCATATCTAGTCCTAGTAATAAAAGCCACAATATACTGGCAGTTATTAAATGTTACACACTGTGCCTAACCCGTTATGAGCCTCAGGCCATTCATCCTTATTTTACCCCACAGGCACTATGATTATCCCATTTTACAGACAAGAAAATTGAAGCTGAAGAGTTTACACAAATTGCCTAAGTGGACAATAAATGATGGGCCAGCACTCTAACCTAGGGTTTTTGCAACACTAACCCCCATTCTGTTAATCGCTGTACTCTAGCAAGTAGGTCCTGAACATGAACTTCGTACGTATGAGGGTGCTACATGCTTTCATGAGCTAAAAGGAAATAAGCCTAGACCGTGACCTTCCTCAGGGTATGAGCTCCATC